GAGTTTCCATTAGTAACTGGTGGTCCGCGGAAAGGTTTGCACCAAGCCAGATGGTCCACGGGCCAAAAAGTTTGAGAACCACTGTGGTAGAGGGTGAGTGCTGCCTAGGCTGCAGCTCTGGGACTGGGCGGTGGCAGCTGAGGGGAGAGGGAAATGTGGGGGCGGGGGTCCCCCTGCCCCAAAGCCACATTGGCCTTCTGGGTCCTAGGTCCCTGTCAGGAAGGTGAGGGCACCATGGGACTCCACCCCCAGCAGTGCTGGACACCCCAGGGTCACTCACCTGGCCCCACCACCCCCACCCCCACGCCACCCTGATCCCAGCCCATGCTGAAGATCGAGCATCACACCCCTTGCAAATATGGTACAAATAATAAACACTTCTACTTAGGGATGTAAAAGTATAACCATTTAAACGGTTAACTGATACGCCTTTGCTTATTGGTTGTAAATATTGGTGGATTAAATTGGGAATTTTTCAGTATGCTATTTTTAACTTATGGAAATACCACATTTGTGATTTTTTTTAATTTAAACAGGTGTGTTCATGTTTCTTTGGAACAATATAATCTTCCAAATAGAATCATTGGACTGGAAGTGACCTCCAGAGGTCTTCTAGTCCAACTCCTGCACTCATAGCAGGACTAAATATCAAACAGATCATTAAGATAGGTTTGTTTGACACCATTATTTTCCCCCAAGTACAGTACATTTTCCTCCCCACTCTTCAGCTCCTCTGTTTCCCACCAGCAGTCCTAACAGTTTCTTGGTATTGGTTTCCAGTATCTTTTCCTCTTCTCTCTCCGCTGCCAAAGCACGAAGTCTGGTGGCAGAATCATCCCCCCCACGTGCACTCCCTTCCTACGTGTCCTCTTGACTTCAGTGGCTTTGCCAGGACTGCTGCCACTTGAAACTGTCAGCATCCTCTTCCCAATACTGCAATCACTGAAGTTTCTTCTGTCGGAGATAGCACGTCTGAGAGAGAACTGTCTCCTGAGGGCTGAGGAAATGACTCTAGTGTACAGTCCCCCTTCATGAGCTGGGAGATGGGGAAACAGCTGTACTTCATTGCTATATACCAGGTCTTGAGGCACATTTCCCAGCAACAGCCTTGTAGCATGGCAGTGTCTTCAAAGGCTCTAGGACAGCAACGGCAACCTAGACTAGTGAGGCCCTCCATTATCTCAGGAGGGGGAGCCGCAAGATTGTCGTAACCGAGACAGTCTCCCAAGATAGAGTAGTTTTGCTAACTGCACTTGCATACCTAGAATTTGCAAGATGTGCCGCCTGAACCATAGCAGCACTTTCACTGCTCTCACAATCAATGTTATGTGCAATTAGCATGTATCTCATGTCCCATGCCCTTGCTTTAAGTCTGTGTCACTTTAGTAATGCTAGTAGGGAAAAACTATGCAGACGGAAACCGGTGGAATTGTGGGCAACGAACGGTAAACAAAATGTCTCTTGGCCATACTTAGAACCCCAATGGGCTGCACATGGCCCACAAGCTGCCCACCACTGCTCTTAAACATCTGCTTTTCCCATTTCTATGCCATGCAGGACTTTCATCCTTAGTCTTCGAAAAAGCCTCTTTCAAAAGAGAGCATCTAGACTGCACACAGAACTTTCGAAAAAGCAAGCCGCTTTTTCGAAAGAAAGCAGCAAGTGAGTCTGGATGCTTTCTTTCTAAAAAGCCCTGTTTGCTTTCAAGAACGCCTCTTTTCGAAAGAGCACTTTTGAAAAAAGGCGTTCTTCCTCGTGGAATTAGGTTTACCGCCGTCGAAAGAAAAGCCGCATTCTTTTGATTTAATTTCGAAAGAACGCGGCTGCAGTCTAGACACAGGTGAAGTTTTTTCGAAAAAAGGCTACTTTTCGGAAAAAACCCTGAGTCTGGACACAGCCTTATTTCCACTGTGCTGGATAACAAATTTTTAAGGAAATCCAGTTTCATTATGATGGATGGGTTTCCTTATAACTTTTTAATATATAATTTTCTGTATTTATGAAATATAGATGAGTTTAAAACCTAGTTATTTATCTTCACTCTGGGTACTTCCCTGGTATTGAAAGAAAACGTAAAGAAAAAATGTTGGTCAAAGTAATAAATTATTTTTTATTTATTTCACCTAACAGATGGCAACAATTTATTTGACTCGATGGCAAGTGGAATGCGTCTGATAGTAAGCTGCATTTCTTCCTTCCTTATCTTATCTCTGCTGCTCTTCATGGTCCATCGGCTGCGCCAGAGGCGTAGAGAGCGCATTGAGTCTTTGATTGGAGTAAATTGTAAGTATTCTGTAACTGTACATTTAGCCAGTGTTGTTGTAGCCATGTGGATCCCAGGGTTGTAGAGAGACAGATGTGAGTTAGGTAATATCGTTTATTGGACCAACCTTCTGTTGGTGAGAGAGATGAGCTTTCGAGACTGGTCTGGGAAATGCAAACATACCCTTTGAGTACACTGCAGTTAAATACCCATGGGTGGCCTCTGTCAGCTGGCCTGGGCTTGTGGAGCTTGAGATGCAGGGCTGTAAAATGCAGCCTAGGTGCTTGGTTTGGGAAGTTAATGTACTTGATTATCATATGAGCAAATATACTAAAGTCCTCATTTGACATGGTACCCTTATAAAGTATTCCAGCATCCTTCTCTTTATGTGTTCATTGAGTCAGTATTGATGGTATAACATGACTTATACTATGCCCAAAGGGTACTCTGGCACCTTTTAGAACAAATAGACAAGCTCTTGACCTAAAAGAGCTTTAAAGTCTAGAATGTAACTATGGCGCCGGTGAGGGTTAGGACAAACAAAGTGGGAAGAGAGGGCTTGGGTGGCGGTAGACAAATGTTCAGTGGTGATTTGCAAGATTTATATAAGCTGCTGGGTGGCTGCCTTTGAATGAGGCCAAAGTACAGCTTCATTGCATATGTTTTAGGTGAGATTCTGTGACTAAGGGGCAGAATGGAAGAAGGCGCAGAGCTGTGCCTTAGATAAAGACATGCATTTTCTCATATTTTATTCTTTTAAACAGTGCACCATTTTAACTTGGGCTGCAGGATGCCTGGTTTTGATTATGGCCCAGATGGTTTCGGAACTGGCCTTACTCCGCTACATCTTTCAGATGATGGGGAAGGCGGGGCATTTCATTTCCATGACCCCCCACCACCATATACAGCTTACAAATATCCCAACATTCAGCATCCTGATGACCCACCTCCTCCCTATGAGGCTTCCATCAATCCAGACAGTATCCTTTGTTCTACCCCAGGTACATGGGCAGGAGTTTTGATAATTTTACTTGCTTGGTAATGAGGAGCACTCCAATCCTTTTTTGTTCTGCTTAAAGGAAAGTTAAACTGAAATATATAAATATTTTAGGGATTGTATGATAGAATAACAATGACATATTTCAGAATCTAATCTTTCACTTTTGGTGGTAAATGTTTTAATACAAGACTTGTTCTATAATTTTATTCTTGACACTAAAATTTGCTGGGCCTCTAAGTCAGTGTATGTATGAATGCTGCAAACTTGTTTTAGCTCTTAGCTTTTTGTATGACTTAATATTTAGGAAATTTAAAACCAGTACAATGAACAGTCTCTTGAAAGGTAAATTTGGTGGTGTGACTGCCCTGCCAGCATACAAGAGGGTTCTTGATAAGGATGTTAAAATGCAGTTAATTGACTAATCCACTAGTCAATAGACTACTCGATAGGCACTTCCACATTCCTTCTTTGAAATGTACAAGAGCCCCCGCTGGGGCTCTTGTACATTTTAAAGGAGGAATGCGGAACACCGCGTAC